AAATAAAATATTGTCAACATGAGTTGCTCATGTGTGGCAAACAGTGTTGTTACACCTGGCTTGGCAAATCTTTTCTGTCTGCTTGGATCAGCTGGAGGGACTTAATGTTGCTGTGCTGCTGTGCAAATTGGGAGTTTCTCTGTCAGGCAACTGGTGATGCTGTGATTAATTGAAAAGGTGGCACAACAGCTGTTTGTTTGTTTGTTAGACTATTAACTTTTTTTTTCTCTGACAAGCAGTCTCAAGTCCCCAAAAACTCCTGAATTATGATTTTTGCCCGACTGAAAGGATGAATGGTTCCCACAGGTGGTTTCTGTAGCTTTCAAAAGTCCAAAAGACAGTCCCAGAGCGGAGTCTGACACCACTACAATGATGCTTTGTTCAACCAACACCTCAGACCTTTAAATTATGTAAAAGTATTGCAGAGTTGCACATTGAAATTTAATGGTTCCAGCTTTTTAAGCTTTTCGTTATATAATTTACATGTATTTTTGGTCAGCACTCTGCATTTCCAGGGGATTTATTCAAAAGCTTCAATTCTTAATGAAAGCTCCAGATTGAAAGTGTAAAACTGACTAAATTATATATGCTAAATCAAAGAACTCCAAGGCAGTGGTTTGAAATAAAATTTGAAGTGCTTTTATTCTCATGGCATGGCCGTGCTTAACTTTAAACTCAACACAATTCAACAGACAAGTTTTCCAAACCCTTCCAAAGACCACGTGAAATAGAAGTGGTTTGAATTCCGGAATTTGTGGTTTGTTTGGGGTTTTTTGTTTTTTTTGTTTTTTTTAAACGGTCATTTAAATTGTGTAGTGTGTTTTTGATAACTAGCACTGACCAAGAAGACAAATGTCCTTTTTAGACTGTACATGTTTGCTTTTTGCTCCTGCTGGCAGTCTTTAATCTGATGGTCACGTAAGGTCAAACACTTTATTATAACCTGTTTTCCATTGTAACTGGTATTTACTTTGACTTGATATGGCAGGCTCCCTTCCAGAAAATTGCTAGAAGAGGCAAGAAAACGGCACATAGAAAATTTTGCAAACTGAATATTTGCTGAAATAAATATTGCAACACACTTTAACACACTTTAACACAACTTAACCAATCAGGAGGTCCTGTAATATGATCATGTCACTTTCTCTGTAAAGTAAATGAGTATCAGCTCTTGCGGTGCCCTAAAAGTCACCTTGTGTCCTAACAGGACCAATCAGATGAGTCTCCATCCCGCTGTGGTCGACACCCAACACCCCCAGCCAAGTGCTCGCCCAGCGAGATGCAGTGTCGCTCAGGAGAGTGCATTCACAAGAAGTGGAGGTGTGACGGTGACTCCGACTGCAAGGATGGCAGTGACGAAGCGAACTGTCGTATGTACATAAGCTTTACGTGATTCACAATCCCAAATAATCTTTAGCTGATACTGGACAGTAAGCTGTAGTTTATCCTCTATCTGAAACAAGCAGTTTGGGCTCCTTTCCAGCTCCATTTGATCCAGTGTTGTTCTGATGGGTAGCCTTTCCCAACAGCCAGCGGGTGGAGCTTCTGTTCGCACATAAAGTGAAATGGTCACACAACGATTATCACCCACCATTTTGGCGGCACTTGGCATAGAGCCACTACTCCTTCACATTGAAACAAGGCAGTTCAGGTGCTTGACATCTTACTAGGATGCCTGCTTGGATACCTCCTAGTTGAGTAGCTTTGGGAATGTCTTACGGGGGAAACGGTCCTGAGACAGACCCAGGACACATTGGAGAGTGTGTCTCGGCTGGCTTGGGAATGCCTTTGTAGTCCTCTGAGGGGAGGTTCAAGGTTCTTTATTCATCACATGCATAGTTATACAAGTATAACACAATGACACGCTCCTCGACTTGTGCAAAAGGGGGGAGAGCGGAAGAACATTAACTATTATATACATTAGGTGACTGTGCAGTAGTAGCATTGTATGCAGCAAGCAGGTGAATTCTGTACATTAAGTGGATTAAATAAGAAGAGACAATCTGAACATTTTACAGGATAGACAATATAAACATATTTAAAATTAAAGGAATTTGAAATGTACATTGTGCCTGGGTTTAGAATGTTTGGAAGAGTCCTGTCTCAGTCACTTATGGATGACGTGAGAGGGCCCATGCGTGCGTGTGTTAGGGCCCAGATGGCTTGGGGATAGAAGCTCCTCTTGAGTCTGTCCTTGTCCGGATGATGTGGAACCTTCTACCGGATTGCAGAAGTTGGAACAGTTTGTTGCCAGGATGGGACGGGTCCTTCTGTATCTGCGCCGCTCTAGTCCGGCATCTCCTGGTGTAGGTGTCCTGAAGCGGGGGGAGAGCAATCCTGCAGCAGCGTTCTGCTGTACGGATCACTCTCTGGAGAGCTTTTTGGTCCTTCACACAGCTGTTCCCAAACCAGGATGCGATGTTCTGTGTGAGGATGCTCTCCACAGCGCCTGTATAGAAAATCCTGAGGATCTTTGGAGAGACCCTGAACTTCCTCAGTTGTCGTAGGTGGTTCAGGCGCTGCCTAGCCTTTTTGGTCTGGACCTGAATGTGGGCAGACCATGTCAGGTCTGAGGAGATGTGGACACCAAGATACTTGAAGGACTGCACCCTCTCCACTGGAGCTCCATTGATGATAATGGGCTTGTAGTCTCTGTGCTGACTCCTTCTGAAGTCCACCACCAGCTCCTTGGTCTTGCCGACGTTCAGCTGGAGGTGGTTGTCTTGGCACCATGATGCCAGATTCTTCACTTCATCCATGTAGGCCGCCTCATCGTTGTTGGAGATGGCACCCAACACCACTGTGTCGTCAGCAAACTTCACAATGGTGTTGGAGCCATGGGTGGCCACACAGTCTGAAGTGTAGAGGGAGTAGAGCAGTGGCGAGAGGACACATCCCTGAGGTGCTCCTGTGTTGATGGTGATGCTGTTAGAGACTCATCTACCCACCCTCACCACCTGAGTTCTGCCAGTGAGGAAGTCCAACACCCATGCCCAGGTCTGGGCGTCTCTGCTCAGATCGCTGCCCTCTGTTAGCCAAACGCAGATAAATGGCAGAAAGTGGATGCACACTTGGATATAGCATCAAACAGCTGTTCTAACAAAAGTGCTGAGTATCAATTTCTACAGAACAGATTAGCAGTATTGCTTCTGTAGAAAACTTGGCTTTCACTTGTTTTCATTTCGTCTGTATCAAAGAAAACTGTTTGGTAAAAACTGGCTTAAATTATTTCAGTGTTAAAAAGAGGTTTAATAAAGCAAACCCTCCAGCTGTGGGTGCTACACTCCTACGTTTCTTCCATTAATTACCTGATAATCTGTTCGTTGCCTATCAGTCCGATGCTCTCCACTTTAATCCATGCTGTGATTAGGATTCAGTAAAAAACAAAACAAGATGTCAGTCATCTGCACATTTTTAATTGGCTTTGTTTTTTACTTCCAAGAGCTTTTGTGGCTGATAGTTTTAATATGGTGCTTATGAATACAAACATAATTATCTAGTGATGTTTTTCTTTTCACTCATCTTTGAGTGAACAGCTATCACAAATTGGCTGAACTCAAACTTGGGTATTTTAGTTATTCTGCACTGATGAATGGATTTTAAATGGTTCACTGAATATTCACAAATGTTTAGTGTTTAAAGAGTAGTCCATGTCAGCACATGTGTAACACATGTTTGTGTCCTTGGCAGCTGTTCGCACCTGTGGGTCGGATCAGTTCAAATGTGACGATGGAAACTGCATCCTGAGCAGCAGACAGTGTAATGGCCTCAGAGACTGTGCAGACGGATCAGACGAGGCAAACTGTAGAAACAGTAAGTGTTGCATGTTGGTGTGAATGTTCACAAACTTATCACCTGAGTGCATTTTGGTTTTTTTTGTTTTTGCTTTTGTTTTTTTTATTTGGGGGGCGGGGATTCTTCTCCAACATGCAAGTTTCCATTTCTACATCTTGAGGCGCACCTGAGGTACCAACAGTGTTTAATTTTAAAGCTGCTCTGGGCATGCAAATGTTGACATTTTTCAGGGTTTTTTGTAACAGTCAACCTCAGGTGGTGCTCCTTGTTTCTTCAAAGGAAAGCTGTCACTCTCCAGATTTGTGGCAGTTTCATTTTTGTGTCCTAATCTAGAAGATGTATATTCGGTGAAAAAACAAACACGCAATTATCTTGTTTTGCTGATTTTGCTCCAGTGTAGTTTTAGAAACTTATGTGATTACATTTGTTATGTAATATTTACTCTGACAGATGATGCTAGAAGCTGAGTACACTGTACTCAAAAAGTGTCACAAATTTTCATGTTCAAAAACCAGTTTGAGCTTTGACATGGTGCATTGTCCTGTTGGAAGCAGCCATCTGATGAGTTCATTGTAGACATAAAGGGATGGAGCAGCGATACACACGCAGCCTGTGATGTTTAAGCAATGCTCAGTTGGTACTAAGGAGCCCAGAGTGTGCCCAGACAATATCCCCTACATCATCGCACAACCACAACTAGCCTGAACTCCCTGATTTCATGTTTTAATTCTGACCCTAACATCCAAATGTTGAATGAGGTTATTTTTCTTCTTCCTCATCCTCCTTCCTCCTCCCTGCAGTGACTCAGTGTAATGGTCCAGAGAAGTTCAAGTGTCGCAGCGGGGAGTGCATAGAGATGAGCAAAGTGTGCAACAAGGTCAGAGACTGTCCCGACTGGAGCGACGAACCGATCAAGGAATGCAGTAAGTGTTCATTTTTATTTTTTAAGTTAAAAAATGTAACTGAATTCATCCATGACTGATTTTAAGTCTGGATCATGCCCCTCTTAGGCCACAGACTTGCTCCTCCCCCCCCCAGAACAGCACGAACATCTCAGTGGGTTCTGGGCAGCAGTGGCTTTTAGTGGTCAAAGCATCAAGGTCCTGAAGTTTTCCCATCAGAGTGACACACCACGTGACCAAAATAAAAATGTTTGCGTTTTCTCCTTGTTTTCAGATTTCCCTGATAATCTGCAAATCTAAACAATGCTGTTAATTTCAGGTGCAGTCATCCCAGAGTCTTGTATAATGTGAAAATGTCACTACTTGTAAACGTCTTCTGATATTTTCCCAGTTGAGACTTCCAAACATCAGTGATGTAAAGTAGTCAAACGTCTAAACTGGAGTTTCTAGAAAGCTGATTTTGACATTGATGCTTCACTGCAATGAAAAGATGAAACGTGTTCAGGAGATGACTTGCTTTTCAGCGAGTTCAGATGTCTTTTCCCGCGGGCCTGAAAGTATCCGGGAGAGTTTATTTCAGGCAATGACATTCCTTCCTCTGTGCTACACATGGATTTATGCTGCTAATATGTGGATTTTTTTGACGTAAATCAGTCCATGAATCTTTCATGCGTCCTACAGTTCAGGTCTAAATAATTCTCTTTCATGGATCAAACAACTCAACCAAAAGTGACTATCAGGCTTTCCACAATCAGAATACTAAATGTATGAATTCGCCTGCAGCTCAAACAGATGAAAAGATCTGCAAATAATATAAAAAGAAATCTACAATCTACTCATGAAGAAACCTTGACAAATCTGCATGACAATTCATGATTATTTATGTAAGAATGTTACAGATTGTTGTACAGAACTAGTGTATATTGTCAAAATGCATATTGGGGTACATAAAACTTATTCTTGGTGGCCAAACAAGTGTTCAGAGTGCTGAAATGGAAATGAAAAGCAATGGTGACATCCTAACCCCCCCCACCTCCAACAGAAATGAATAACAGCTGTAGCTTGAGCACGTGAAAGGATGTTCTCCTGTGACTCATTAAGCCTTGCACCTTAATAAATCACACTGTATGTGCTTAATGATGGTGAATTTCAGCCATCTCTGTACTGACGCTCTCTGCCCACAGACAAACTAAAGCACCGTGAACTGAAGTTTACGCCAGCTTCTTCTAAGCTGATGCCATGCTGAGGGATTTTCTTCAGTTTGTCATGCATTTGGTTCATTTTTCTCCTATTTCAGCTTCGGGAGGTTTTTAGATAGAGATTTGCTCTGACCACCCAGAACATGCACATGTGCTTACTGTTGTGATTGCAGGGTTCTGGGAGATCAGTCTCTCCCTGCTGTTTGGTTTATTCTCGTAACAATTACAGTTGTGCATTTTAAGATTTCAACAAGCGCACTAATTACAAACATGGTCTTTGTGCTGTAAGTACAGCCTTTGACTTTTTGCTGATGTAAATGATGGTCAGCCAAGTGCATGTTAAAGGAGGGTAATCCTGACAAGGACACCAGTTGTTGGTTCTTGTTGCTGCCTGTTGCTTTCATACACACGCTTGATGTATAAAGAACAAGATAAGGACAACTTCAGAAAGCCAGATTCCTTTAATACAAGAGGATGAAATTGCAGTTTTGTTTTAAAGCAGATTTAAAAGCAATTAGGCCACACCTGTTTACCCAGCTTTCATTATTGCACTGTGATGCTCCAAAGACCTCAACACAACACTGGTTCGTGCCTTTTAGTTAACACTACATAAAAAGGCAAATAAGTGTCTTAACAAACATTGCTCTGAAAAATGAGTAAAAAACCAGTTGGTGTCCAAAGAACCTTTAAAAGACATTTTGAAGCTTTGAGAATAACTAGTGTCTCCTTGGAAGCAAAATATTAAAAATTGGGAATGGCTGAACAGTCGCTCGTCATCACTCTGGTTTTCCAATTGGTTGCTTATCTTCTGGCTACCTTACACAGTACATTGCTTCACATCCACACAGGTTACTGATGAACTACTGATGCATGTTTTAGCCTTTCTGGTTTTAAATTTTATTTTTCTTGAAAGTTGTGGGGCTTTTCCATATTGTGTTCCACCCTCTGAGTCTACTAACAAATGCCAATTCATGATATTCAAACCTCTTGTGGTTTGAAGATCTTTCAGTGAATACAATCCTCGCTTAGCTTTGACTCAGACTTCTCCCAAACCACCTTATCGTAACCTTTTAGATCTAATTGGACACACAACTACAGAGCTGTTTCCTGTGTTCCAGATTTTAACGAGTGTCTCCTGAACAACGGTGGCTGCTCGCACATCTGTAAAGACATGGTGATTGGCTACGAGTGTGACTGCACGCCTGGGCTCCAGCTTATAGACCACAAGACCTGCGGAGGTATGCGATCTCTGCATTACACAGCTTGGTGAAAAATGCTAAAAGATCAAATTTTAAATCAGTTTTGACAACACTACAGTATTTAGCATTGGGAAACTATTATTCAACACCGGATAATGCATTTTTCTAAAAGGGTTCAAAAGTGTGAGACTGTCTGAATGAACACAAGTATAGGCATCCATCCAAAAAGCAAACAACTTTAATACACTGAATTCAATCTAAAACCTTTAAGACTTAAGGAAAATTTAATTATGCTTGCCCTCAAATATCTAATCACAGGGGTGGGTCAGATGGGCTGGTGGTGTTGTGCACTTCTGGCCTCTGAAGGGTTTGGCGTGTAATGTGATTGGGCGTGTTGTAATCTGTTTTCCTAAAAGCAGAAATCCTCTTGGTTACGTTTAGGAGGCACTGATCCGTCACAGTTCTGTTATTGAGCCAATCTTGGCCTCAAACCCTGCTTTGGATATTTGGTAAACGTGTATAATCCCATCTGTATGAACCCCACTGGTTCCACAGAGGCGTTTAATCTACTTCAGGATGTAGAATGATCACTAAACTGGAAAACGTTTGATAAATTTACATCTAATTCTGATGAGAGCAGCTCGTCGAGTGTTCTGGCAAAACATCAGCGGCAATTAAAGCAACTTTTAATTTGCATTTTGTGTATTCGAGGCTCAAATCACTTTACAATCTCATGCAGTGGGAATCCCAGGAACATCCTATTTTTGAAAAGCAAGATAAATTTTCATCAATACACGCGGACTATACAGCTGTTGAGCCCCCATAGAAAGATTTGATTATTCAAACTGAGGCATTTAGCAGATTTGATAGATTAAACATGCCGCATACAGCTGTTCTTTCTTCACACACGCCTCATGATTCGCCTTTCTGCTCCTCTTCTGCAGATATCGATGAGTGCATGAATCCCGGCATTTGCAGTCAGATCTGCATCAACCTGAAGGGAGGGTACAAGTGTGAATGCCACAACGGCTATCAGATGGATCCGACCACCGGCGTCTGCAAGGCTGTTGGTGAGTTAGCAGCTGGGTGAACTTATTAAAAATTTCACCTCAACATTTTGATCATATTTTAGTCTATATTGTTGGTTCTGCCACTGTCTGGGTCCCGATCTCTGGATAATACGGTGTTTTGCATCCCTCGAGCTAAACAAAAAATTTGGTGTCTCGTAAAGTATTGTGGAAATGGGTCTCTTCTCCTCATCAGAGTAATACTCTGAGCTGACCCCTCAGATCCTGCAGGAATAGCCCTGAGCAATGCAAACTTGGGCTCTTTTGAAAGATTATGGTGAAATATCATCTTCATGGCAGAAAAGACATTTCAGGATATATTCATGTACTGGGGGGGCAGCGGAGTCACTTTGATGCTCACATGTGCAACTGGTTATAAATGGAGACGTCTGTCCCGTACAGACCCAAAAACTTGGATTTGTCCATCGTGATCCAAAATTGAGCCTCACTTACTCCTACTTTTCACAAACGGCTGCATCCAGTGTGTCTGTGCTGCAGTGGCTTTGGATGACACTGAACTCTTACAGATTGCTGATGTGACTGAACTGGCAGCTTCATGTCTGATCAGGGTTATGACCTTTGGTGTGCGTATGATTTGCTGCCAGAAAAATTGTAGGCGTTGCATTTGGTTTGTCATTGCTTATAACCAGCAGCTTTGAGGTTTTAGTTGACTAACTGCTTCAGATACATCGAGGTAAGAGTGCTGAAAACATACCCACAGATCTTTTTGTTCTTTGGGGGGGGGAGTTCACTCAAATTCTCCAGCTCCCTTATTGCCAACAGTAATATAGTTTGCAGCCCAAAAGAACTAAGTGATAGAGTTCAACCACTATACTGTGGGCTCTCACTCCAAAGTGCAGCAAGTTCACGCCATTGACTCAAAAAGGTCCATAATTTGCGGATGCAAAGTGATGATAGTGCCTTTGTATGTCAAATCAGTATTAAACATTTAGGCTTGTTCGCTGCTAAAAAACAAACAAACACTTGTTTTAATGTCAGGAGGAGGGATGTTTACAGCATATGAAGGTCCACAAGTTGAAATGGTGTGTTTCTCTTTTCTGAAAGGCTTTCAGAGTGGAAGGCAGCGTTTTAACACAGGGCTGTTGTTGGATTGCATTAGTATTAAATGGGTGAAGCTAATTAACTGTAAGCACTGGTTTTAATGCAGCTTTCAGCTATGGAAAAAAAATCCAGCAGAATGACAATTCTGTGGAATAATGGGGAAAATTATGGGTTGGCACAAGAGCTGGGTGGTGAATTGATTTTTTTTTTATTTATTTATTTTTTTTTAAGGTGTATATTTTCAAAGCAGGCTTAGTTTTAAGAACTGACCAATAATTTGTCCTAAACAGTAAATGGAAGCCATAAAACACTTTGGAAAGGTCGTCGTCATCATTCAATAACCCCTTTCCTGTCCTCAGGTAAGGAGCCCTGCCTGATCTTCACCAACCGCCGTGATATCCGTCGTCTGGGCCTGGAGAGGAAGGAGTACACTCAGATTGTGGAGCAGCAGAGAAACGCAGTGGCTCTGGATGCAGACTTTGACCAGCAGACCATTTTCTGGGCTGACCTGGGCCAGAAGGCAATCTACAGGTAGGGTAGTAGGTGATTAGAGGGAATGACACAGGCAAACGGGCAATAGAGTATTGTTGTAGGACTATGGGAGGCATTGACAGTGCAGCACAATGTAGTTGTAACTTCACAGGGTAAATGGATTTTATTTGTAAGGTAAACTTAATTTTTTTCCTCTGCTCTGTTAAAGCAGTGCGTTTTTCTGCCTGCAATAGTTTTGAATTTTATGAGATATAGAGGTCTCAGACTGAAAGGATAATATACTGGGAGTCCTAGCAGCATTTGAAAAACTGTATAAATGGATATATTCTCTGTGTCTGTCCGATGCTGAACTCTTCTCCACTCAGCACTCTTCTGGACAAGCGTGTAGACATTGGCACCCATAAGAAAGTCATTGACAACGTGCAGACTCCAGTGGGAATCGCTGTGGACTGGATCTACAAGAACTTGTACTGGTCTGATCTCGCAACCAAAACAATCTCTGTGGCCAGTTTCAATGGTACCAAGCAGAAAGTTCTGTTTAACAGGGGCCTCAAAGAACCGGCCGATATTGCTGTGGATCCGCTGTCTGGGTAAGTGGACGGCTCATTTTGGTGTTGGATGAAACCCTTCTGATCTCCCACTGATGGTCTGCTTTTACTCATGATTGTGTCGGTCCTACAGGTTTCTGTACTGGTCTGACTGGGGAGAGCCAGCCAAGATAGAGAAATCTGGTATGAACGGAGTGGACAGACGGGTTCTGGTGGCGACAGACATCCAGTGGCCTAATGGCATCACACTGGGTAGGAACAAACCAACAAGTCACTGCACGTTTTTCTTTAAGTCTGGGGGGGTCTACAGGTCATTTTAAAAAATCTTAAATTCAGACTGGATTGGTCTTAAATTTTAGTGATGTCACTGCGAGAATTTCAGCACAAGCACTTAAAGCTGCCTGTGATTTTAATACTTTGACTATAAATCACTTGGTATTTGAATAGTTCACTCTTTAACCTCCTAGGACCTGGCGTCCACATATGTGGACATCACATTTTGGGTTATTTAGACCAAAATACTCAATTTTGCTGTACAAGGACCTGATATCCACTTACGAGGACATTATACAGCTACTGTTCTATCAAAATTTTAAACAAATATCCTCATATTTGGCTCTTTTCTTAAAAACAAAAATAAGGTTAAAAAAAATCTGGTAATTCTTTGTTTTTACATTCATCGGGCCCCAATATGACCAAATATCAAAGAGAAATTAAAAATGCATGTCGTGGAAGAGTTCGGGTCTTAGGAGGTTAAAGAAATGAGTTGCAGAGAATCTTTGAAGAGGACGCTGCTCGAGCCTGGCTTGCTGTTGTTTGAGTCTATTGTGTGATCTGTCAGTCTTTGATGTTTGCCCTCTGATGGAACAGTGTGTGGGACTTCACAACATGCAATTTGAATGAACTTTGGCTTGACTTTGGCCTCTTTTTCAATCAATTTTGTAAGCTAAACTGAGTAACCAATTGTGCAGTCTCTAAGAGAAGTTTTTTTTTTTACCAGGTAACAACATAAGAGGGCAGTTAGGGAATTTTACATTAAATAAGCTGAAGTCATGATGTATTCAGTTTAACAGAGTTGGTGAATTCATAGTAATACTAGTCAATAGGCTAGTCTTCTTCTTTTTTTTTGGGGGGGGGGGGGTTGTTGTGAAGTGATGGCTATGTTGCAGTAGCAGCTGTAGATGCTTGTAGGTTGTTAGTCAGGCTTTCTGGTGAAATACGGTTTCTCTCAGTTCTCATTCATCTGATTGTTTTGTTACATCGTTTCTAGTAAAATGGTGTAATCTCAGTATTTACTTACAATAACTACAAGGTGCTGGAAAGCTTGAAAATACCTTACAGGAAATGCTTGAAGTGTTTTAAATTGACTTGGACAGTGACCTTTCACAGAAAGAAATGGGTAAACAAACTGCAGTGCGGCTTTCTTTTGTGACGTTTTCACCATTAAGACTAAAAGTCAGTTGATTCATCCTGTTAAAGAATCATCAGTACAACAATTTAATCTCTTTCATCTCATTCCACTTATTTTTCTGTCTGCTTTCCACTTTCCTTCCCATTGTTCTCCCTTCTTTAGTCTTCCCATTTAATTTCTGCTTATTTCTTTTTTCTTTTTCTTTTTTTCTTTTTACCCCAGATCTGATCAAAGGCAGGTTGTACTGGGTCGACTCAAAGCTGCACATGCTCTGTAGCGTCGACCTAAACGGGGACAACAGGAATAAAGTGCTCCAGTCTTCAGAGTACCTCGCTCACCCCTTTGCTCTCACCGTTTTTGAGGTACTGCATTTGTCTTTTCTCTAAACCAGTCTGGGTCACATATCTCAGGATAATAAACAAAACGTTTTTAAAATGTAGTTCTGATCCAGGAAATTGGTTTCATGACACAATCAGTTATTGCACACTGCATTTAAGAAATCTGTTGGGAAAATTTGCCACTGACCTCATCACCTGTGTACACGAGTTTATTTGCATGTTTTTAAATGTCTTTGGTGCCAGTTGCCTTGTCCTTGATGGCGTTTCATCTACCGAAACAAACTGGTCCTAGTTTTAAGAAGTAAAATTACAAAAATCAAACGCAGGGAAGGAAAAGCTGCTCCCAGCTTCAAACCATGTACAAGTATGATAAAGGGTTTTGTTGCACAAAATCCTTTAATCAACCCAGTCACCCTCAATGTATTGTACATGATCTGCTAATGACATGTTTTAGTATCCACCAAAACACTTGATGTTTGTGTTTAACAACATGCAAAACAACTAGAAGATATTACCTTTCAAATCAAGTGTTCTGTGTACATTTTTACCTTCCAGTTCTTGAATAAAGAATTTCCCGTGTGTTTTTGTGGGGTTTTCAGGTATTCTGTATAAAAGTATAGATGTGAACCTAGCCCTACATAGGTTACTGATATTACAATTAGAGCTGGGTAACCTTCCTATAAGTGCGAAACTCTAGCAACCATAAATGACATAAGACACCACTCTGAGGGTCTCTCACCTGGTCCCCTCTTGCCAGCACATGATTGAGATGTTGATTAGTGGTCCGCTGTGCAGCTTTCCATGTGCACAAGTCCTCTGCTGTTGCCTGTGTGAGATTTGCTTCGAGGTCAAAAACACATGCTTGTCTAGGCTCCACATCAAATTTAATTAATTGTAAGATTATGCTATCCTATCCTAACAGAATTGGTTGTTTCAAAGCTGGGTTCCTCGTTGCATTCACACCACTTCTTCCACATCTAACCTTTGGAAGCACAGTCATTTACATGTAGCACTCTGGCTGTCTAATCGACCTACACCCACTTGTGTTAACATGTTCTCGCTCAGACAGATGGCACATTTATTCACACGATGGCATGAGGTCTAAAACGATCATCAGATTTCTCCTAACAGCACAGTTTATAAAAATCTATCCATTTATTATCATCAGGAACATTTATGTTGAAGCAAAATTTTGCTTATATCTAGAGTCAATGAAGCTTTTCAGGGGTTAAATCGCGTTCAGTCATTATGAAAAGTCCTCGTCCTTTAAATTTTAATATATTAACACATGAACGGGCTTAACGTAAGCATCAAAAGCCAAGTGGCAGCTTCATCAGAATATTTAGATGCAACTTTGCAGCATGCAGTGCAGGAACACCACACATGATCTGAGCAGATGTGACTTATATTACTGTGGATTCATACATTTCTTACAATTGATGAGGGGCTACTCAGTTTACAGATTATTGTAGAATTAACTCTTATTTTATATTGGTATAAAACAATATCACAACAAATGACATGTAATGGTTTCTAAGATATATAAATGTTGGTATGTTATGCCACTGAAACTGTTTCTGATAATTTAATGGGTCATATTAAACGTGGTGTTGGAGGACTTTACTCAAATTATGATTTACTTTTTAAGAAGTCATGTATTGCTTCCTGAAGGGAATACATTTCTTGTGCTACTTAGTGCTTTAGTGCTAACTCTGGCTTTATTCTGCAATTTTGTAACAAAGTTTTCATCAGTCTACAAATCTGCCCAAATCTTAATGGGAGCAAGTTTTCTTGTAATGACACAAAGCTGACAGCAAAGTCTGTGATGGCACTTAAGCACTTGTGTGATGACAGTGATTTATGGAAGTTTTGTATTGCTGTGATGTTTATGAGTAGACTTCTTCAGCGTTAAAGTTTTTGTTTATTCTTCTGCCCTTTGTCCAGGATCGAGTCTTCTGGACTGATGGGGAAAAGGAAGCAATCTACGGTGCAAACAAGTTCACAGGCTCCGACGTGGTTACGCTGGCCAGCAACCTGAACGACCCCCAGGACATCATAGTGTACCATGAGCTCATTCAGCTGTCAGGTAAGAAAGGAGGGAGCTGAAACTAGCAGAGGAGGAACTGACGGATATTAATACTTAAGCTTGGAAATCTTTACTCCTGCAGGCTCGGTGACATCACAGGAACCCCAGTATCAGAGCTGATGTCACTTCTGAGTTAATGAAAGCTAATGAGGGGAAAGTAATCAGAAATTACTGTAATTACACATGATCAAGGTACAAGGAGTGCTAGTGATAATTATAATTTTAAGCTGTGATCATGTCGCCATAATTGACACGAGTTTTAATAGCTAATGATGCAACCAAGTTGAGAATCATGTAAAGGGTTGAACAGAGAAGGCTAGTACGTCGAGCCCCGATCTGTAATTTATCCTCACATGTTTGTGAAGCCTTAAAGTCACATGTGCTCTGATTGGATTATAAAGGGAAACATAAGCCAGTCAATCCTCTTAAAGTTCTCATAAGAAAGGTAAAGATCCATGACCATTGAGCTCTGTCAGTGGGCTATACCTGTATCAATGAGATCACCATTGGGTCCAACACAGTAATGCTAAATGGGCCTAATAAAGTGGCCAGTCATTGTATAGAAACTCAGCAGTATTTGTTTCCATGATGTACAGTATACTTATGTATGCAATACATACCACCACTTTACCGCTTCTAAGTGTACAGTATTAGTTTCTTGATATTTTATGGTTAATCTGTAATATTTAAACTTTATTTAAACACTTAGTCTATCAAAATGTGTCCTCTTGGTTTATAACGATCATGTGTGCAAAGATCCATAGGATGAAAATGTCGACGATCACACTATGGATTATACTTAAACCCTAATTTTGTTCCGTCAACCTGTGGATATACTTCATAGTAGAAGAGGGCGTTAAAGCTCCTTTCACTGTGGATTTAATGTACCCATGTTACACTTGTTAACTGAAATGGTTTGATTAGCTTTTATTTGCCCCTCAGATCAGTCTGATCAGAGCTGCTAACCTTTGTGTGCAGGTACTAACTGGTGCTCAGAGAAAGGTGAAAATGGAGGCTGCAGCTACATGTGCCTGCCTGCACCACAGATCAACAAACACTCCCCCAAATATACGTGCGTGTGTCCCGAGGGCCAGGAGCTGACTGCTGACGGCTTGCGCTGCAGACCTGGTGAGTCACGGCACCCTCGCGGGCTTGATTTGTGTTTTGGCACTTCATCTGTGTGTTTACACCTGAACCCCGGAGCAAATCTCACCAAAGCTGCAAACTTGAATGCTACAACATAAATTTTGACATGTTTATAGAATTGAAACAAATACTAATGATTCATTTGTGAGCATTTGAAGTACGGGCAGTATTCAGATATATCTGAAATGTGCCAGCAGCAGTTGTTTATAAAGTCTAATGGTACAAGTCATGATCTGCATACAAGCTTGTACTGTAAAATGGTCCAGCGCTTGTAAAGATGCCATACGGTTTTGTTTTGGTGACATGAACTCCATCCAGCTCTTTAATGATCTCTCCTCATGTTTGGACAAGCATTTTCACACATACTGTAATTATTATCTATCCCATGCAAAGGCGATGTTCTGTTCTCTGCATTTGTTTTCTCGTGTTAGCAACTGTCATTAATTTGTATACACAACAGAATTTAGTTGACGCCACCATTTATAAACAGGAAGTCAAGACTCTGGAGACTGGTACCACAGGCCTGGCAAAAACCAGACAGGGTGGATCTTTGCTAGTGAAAACAATGCTGCTGCTGTTGCACAAACATTAGCTACACACTTGGTGAGCTAATGACATTAACATGTCATTAATGTTAAACACAACACTGCATGCTTATGAGTGATGGCTTGAGATGGTGCATGCAGTATTTGGGCAGTGTCCAGCCTCTAGATTGAATTTTTTTTTTTTTTTTAAAGTATTTTTAGTCTGGTCAGATGGTCTTGTTCAATAAAAGCTGCATGGCCAACCACATGACATACTGTGTGGATTAGTGGAACAGCAGAGCTGTCTGTGGTTCTCACATTACTGCTTCTTCACAAGCACACCTTTTTTTTTTTTTCTTTTTTTCCCCACTTGCAGCATGAATTAAAAAGTAATGTAGGGTTGTCAAGAACATAAGTGAATGCTTGCTTGGCTACTTCCTGAACTTGTAGCTCTTATGTTAAAGCATCTTAAAAATAAATGGTAACCACTCCCAGTTCTTTGGTTCTGTGGGCTGCCAGGCTTGAAATATGCTGATGAAAACCCTGGACTGCGTGATCTTAAAAAATGCAAATGCAGTGTTAATCTAAACAAAATGAAATATTTTATTAGTTGTAACATGGAAGGAGAACATGGAGGGAAAAGTAAATCTTCAGATTTACATGAAGAGAAACCAAATTATTCAGCAGCAGGAACATCCCATCAGAGGTAGAGTGGTTTTTTGATGAGTTGTGAAAAAATTGTGCACACTCCTGTCAGTTCTCATTCCAGTCACTATTGTGAATCTCCAGCAAAGTGGCTTTAGAAGCTCTGCTGTTTTTGTAGTTTGGACATTTGAAGCCCTAAAACACAATACAATTAGTAAGACTGCATAAAAGTATTAGGAAAAATGGAAAGCAGGAAGGTGCCAAACCTCAGCGGTTCTGAGAATGGGTACACCACCTCATTGTCTTCACACATCCACCTGGTTTTTGTTTTTTTGTTAAGCCAATTGTTTCCCTTCCTTTCTGCTTCATACTCCCTGCTGCTCATTTCAAATGTGACTCTATTAAAGAAAAGGTAAAAAGGAGCTTAGGTTTCACAGGTTAGCCACCAAAACACAGAAACAGCTGGAAGACGGAATAAATTCAGTCTAATTCTACGGTTTTCCAAGCATGTTTCCGTGGTGTGTGCTCCCACTGTGTGTCTTGGTTTCTATCTGTATCCATGCCAGCCAAAAACCCAGCTGTCTGTTTGTATTAGTAGTCTGACAGCTGAACAGTAGCTGAGTCACTCGGTGTTGTGATCCAGTTTTTCAGCACCTTTTTGGCAAGTCTCAACATCGTCCTCCTTCACATCTCAGCTGCAGCTTCGTCTCCTCCTGCGTTGGGAAGTGTTTCATCCTGACAGCTGAATTGTGTCGGATCCTGACGTTGATCCCTCTTCCACTCCATTGTTGCGTTTTTCTGCTGAAAGAAACCCAGAGCTCTTGTTTTTTGTTTTTTGTTTTTTTGGGGGGGGGTTGTTTCCCCCTGGGGGTTCAGTCCCACCCTGTGCAGTCTTCATTTCTCTGCACTGAGTGGAGTGTGACTGTTAGTGCTGTGGCAGCTGAATGGACACAACACCAACCATGAGATTGTTAAATGTTTTCATTTTTAAATCATGAGAGCAAGTCTGTGGCTGACCTCAGCTGCTGTGGAAAGATCTGCCACAAGATTTTGGAAGCTGACTGCAGGGATTTGGTCTGGTTCCGAGACAGTGCTTCAGTTTATCCCTCCAGATCTCTGACCTCAACCCTTTGGGACAATGATTTAATTGATACTATTACAGTCATCAGTCCTTGTTCTTTATTGACCAAGTTATTGAATCCTGATTTATTTCTGTTATCATAAAAAGGCATGAACAGGTTTTTACAAATGCAGTGCAGCTGTCTTGTCTCTGATTCTGAATGCAGAATCTGAAAATGGAATTTGTATGAAAAGGCCTTGGATGTAATTGAGTTGTCACACAAACCTCCCAGCCTTGATGGATGAATGAAGCTTTTCTTAATTCAACATCCTGAGTTAAGGCTCCATGCATACCAGTCATACCACAGCCCACATCACTCTGGGCCTGGCTCGTAACATCGGCAGCATTATGTGAAACTGGGGCAAAAGGGCCAAACACAAACTCCTACCATAGTGTAATTATAATTCAAGACATTTACCACTGCTGAGCCTAATGGGTCCAAATTATGAAAATGGCCCCAGGCTGAAATTGTTTTTGTTTCTGATGAAGAATAAAACTAAAACTTTAATTTCATGAGAGATGAAGTTGGCTACTAATTTCAATCTACAATCCCCAAGCAGGGACAGATATTATTAAATAACTTAGAAAATGCAACTACATACCCAAAACAAAAGCTGGAACCAAAGAAACATTAATTATGAAGAAGCCCTAAAAACAACTACAAGTACACAAACTGTACTGTGTGTAACCCCCTCCTTTCAGTATTAACCAGACTGTCATAGTTGAACTAGGCTTACAGATTGATGGGATGACTGGTTTGAAAAAAATAAATAAAAAAATGCTGGATTGGCTTAATCTTGACATGAATAATGGAAAAGGTTGATTGCGCTTCATGAAAGACTTGCACAGTATTGTGAAATGAACATCAGAATAGGAAACCACAACAGTGTCACTGCTGCGACATCCTTAGGAAATAAACTTGTACTCTGAACTTTTGAAGCTTGATTATGAAGGATTTCACCGGTTCCATGACTCCTCTTTAGTGACTGGAGCCTCTTATTCACATTAACTCAAAGAAACAGTCTTTTGATCATTTTGGCACCGGGATCAAATATTCTCCAGTTCAGTTGTTTAACTGCTGGTTCCCCTTTTGTAGACATCTAGGTAAACCACATAAGACACATTCTTTGCTTGAGAACTTCTGTAGGCGTCAGTAAATATTGAGCGTAACTATTGCAGAACTGGAGTTTAGTTTGAAATTATTGAGAAGATGAGGGGGGTAGTTTTGGAGCAGAAGCATTACATGTGGTGGTGCAATAAACATCTCCTACCTTTTCATTATTATTGGTCCGTTGAATTGCATACTTGTGCAACACAGCTTTACTTGCTAGTAATTAAAGCATTGAACATTTTCCCTGAAAGCAATCTTTTCGTCTAATCACTTCACTGAAGTGTGTTTTGTGCTCTGGATGAGACTGTTGGCTGATTTTTATTTATTTTTTTAAATTGTCCAGTTTTTTTGTTGTTTTTTTTCTTTGAGGGCTGCAGAGAAAGCTTACACTGTGGCATACTGATAAAATGAAGGCAGACACTCCTGTTCCTTTCTTTTACTGAGGCTCATGCTTTAAGATGCACAGCATGGTGCTGAGATGGATCTAACAAGCCTGTATATGGAACTTACATGCAATATATTTTCAGGCAGCTACCATTTAACGATTATATGGGACCCTAATCACTTCACAGCATTCTTCAGTAACTCTGACTTTAGTTATGGACCTGCATGTATTCCATATTCTGAGATATTATAGGGAAAGCAGGTTCAGGAACAGGTCCTTGGAGAACTCCGCACTCCCACTGTTTGATACCTTTTCAGATGTTTCCAGTAGCACAACTGTAGTTTAACCTTGTCTCTGTACTTTGACAATAGAGCTGAGATGGCTTTAATGTGACTGCAGATTTTGCAAAAATAAGTTTTCAGTGTTTGTCTAGAGCAAGACTACATCTGCTTGCATCGGCACTCAAATTTCCATCAACTTTAAGATTTATTTTAACTTCGAAAGCAAGGAGTTTGGACACCAGAAATGGCCAAGTACCAGTGTGCTTGTTACTGTTAGATGTGAGAATTGTAAGAATTGAACTAGTGCACTTAAAAAAAAACAAAAATCAAACTGCAGCCCTTCTCTCCTTCTGCCTCCTTTTTTTGCCAGGGAAAGGTTGCCTAGAAACACTGTCCTCTTCCCTTAGTAGTTTGTCTTGAGCAGTCCAGCTCCTTTCTTTGCTCCCACAGATTATCCTTTTCATAGTGAAGCACTGTCAGATAGGAACCTGACAGCCAAATTCAGCACACAAACTCTCTCCTAATTGGACTCGAGCTGTAGACCAAGACACTGGTGTACACAAAGTACTGGAACATCTCCGTGACAACTCTCTGCACTCCTGTCCTCCAGTGTGAAAGTCTCTCTAGTTAGCCTGTTCGGCTTTCTTTAAGAGTCTTCTCCACTTACCTCCTTATTTTTGAGTTCTGGGAGGTTTGACAGGTTTTACAGCTTTTCTTTCTTAGTGTACAATATCTGGTGGTTCAAGTTTCATTTTCCTCAGATTTATTTTTTTACTCTTATTTTAATATATAGTTGAAGTTTTATCAGAGTCCCTTGGCCTCATGCACAGCAGGTCAGCTCTGTAATGGTCTAAAGGTTAAAGGTGGGAGCTTGTTAAAGGAAACTCGCTGGTTCAGTCAAAAAAAACTGTTCAACAGTTTCCAGCTGATTTTAAATATGCTTGAGTGGGCACTCAAGCATATTTAAAATCCCTCACTGAGCTCAGCATAATCCTTGCAGCACATTCCAGACTTTTCAAACTTGATCCATTCAGCTGCCTCTCCAGAGAGGCTCAGGCCTCCTCCAGCTGTACCGTCTTGGAGTGCAGCTGGTGATTTAAAGATGTGGTGCAAGCTGGAGGGGCACTATAACCTGAGCTTACAGCAGACGGAGAATTGGCTCATGTGTCACTGTGCCGAGCAGAGCAAGGACTAAATTTGTCAAATGCAGTCAAAGATGGTGCCTAGAGACCTCAGCAGCAGATTGTATTGTTCGGTTTTGTTGCAAAATATTTTCCGAGGAGTGTCCAAAACTTTAACTGAAGGAATGTCTTTCTGTAGGTGTGCATGCCTGCATCTACAACCAGAAGATCAGAGTAGGCCCATAGTTCTCAGTGTGGTCCACAGTGGGGGCCCTTTAGAACACCTTATGAAGCTCCCAGTGCAAAAAGATGAAGTATCCACAATAGGTCCTTTCTCTTCAGATTCTCTGTTCAGTTTCTCTTCTGTAACTTATAAGATGAATTCTAGATGGTCAGCTAGAATGAAAAGAGAAAAGTGCAGGTAAATTTTTAAGCGTTTTAACTTGAATTCAACTTGGATCCTTTTGTTTCGCTCATTTGATTTTAAAAATTCAAGTGTGGGGCATGAGCTCTAATTCAGCTTTTGGTGGGTCATTCAGAAAAAGCTTGAACCACAGCTGTATAGTGTCAGGGGGGGTAGAACATGGAGTTATCACTGCTATAGTTAGAAAGTTTTAGTCCAGCCTCTGACATTGCTGTGCAGATTGATGCTGCTGGGGTTGCAGAGGGGCATGTAACAGTGTTTTCTGCATGATGGTGGTGGGTAATACTGTGGTTATGAAGATTCCCAGTTGCCATTTGGGTCATTAAAGCTTTGATGCCATGAACTGTGCACAAATAAATTCCTGGTGCTCTGCAGCAGACTTTACAGCCTGGGTTCTTTGCAGATATACAAGGCCTTCGTGTAGTGAGCATCCCTGCAGCCTGAGTCACCATCTCATAGACTCCTAGGGAACCTCGAGCTGTCTCCAGACTCTTTACAGCCACTCTAATAACTGAAAGTACCACCCTGACTGGCGGAATGTGAAAGTGCGTACTTGTCTTTATCTCCTTGGCATCTGTATTTGCAGCTATGAGACTGATTCTGTACAGACCTGTTTGTATATAGTTTTTTTTTTTTGTTGATGTCTTTATATGAAACTGTATTTTCACACCTGTCTATCCTGTTAATAAAGAGTGAGAATAGTGTGGGAGGAGTTAAAATAGGATGTCTGTCACTTGCTAAAAGCGCCTCCACCTTCCTCGTATTCAAAGGCTTCATTGTCAAAGGCCTCGTTGCTCTTTACTAAACCAGCAGATAACACATTTATCCCATTTTACAGCCGTTGCAGCTGGACCGAATGGGGAACTGTAGAGCATTGTGCGGCTGCAGTTTGGACCGGCCCTAATCTTGTTAGTGTGGCACGGGGGGGAGAGTAATGAGCATTGCTCTTCACTTCAGGGTTTGGACCTCAAACTACTACAGAGGGATTCGTATAACAGTCTTTAGAGGCAACTGGGGAGTGTTTTTCCTTCAGACTGCACCATCTCAGGCTGAAATACAGCGCGTTTCATGGATTTTCCAACTCTGCTGAGACTTGTTCCACTGTTTATCATTTGGTATCATTCATCACAGGTCCCATCTTTCTATAAAGCTGCCAATATTGTATCCAAAATTTCTCAATTATCTCAATCAAACATTGTCTAATTAAATGCTTTTTTTCTTGCCGTTCATACACAAACCTATAAAAATGACAGGCTGTTTATATTAAGCAAAATGCATACTGAGACCACTGTTTTACAGACTGTCCTAAACTTCCTTGCCTTTTATCAGATACGTTTTCATTGCATTTGGAATTTACTGATTATTGGATTAAAGTCAAATGTGAAGTCAAAGGAGTGTGGCAAACACGTGCTTTACCCTTCTGCAGATTTGAAAGCTGAAAGCTTGCTCCTGGCTTTTCCCGTTTGCCCAAAAAGTAAAGTTGAACCAAAGCCTCAAAGATGATCCTTAGTTTGCAGGTGCTTGCTTTTTCCTTTTTGTGTGTTTGGGGACATATTGACATGTTGGAGTATAAAACCTTTCTAGGGTCTGGAGATATAGTTTTGGAAAGGAGAGATTTGGTGTTGGAAGGAAAGAGGTGAGCTTACCAGACACATGTAGCACATTGCTCATCTCTACTTAAGGCTATGCTCGGGGTTATGTTAGCTGATGCTTGTATGTCATACCTGAGACTTTGATCAACCCGTCAATGTTCAGGGTTACGTATGTAGCAGGTTTTTCCATGATGGCAATCTGAGTTGTTTTTTTTTTTTTCTAAAATGAATGCATTTGAGCCTAATGATGTGAAACCAGAGCTGTGTACATTTTGCTTCCCAATTATACATTTGCTTTTGTTTCCCATTGACTGTTTATAGCCATCCAGCTAGCCCCACCTTCCTCATGACATATGACAAGTGTCATAGAAAAAGTGGAAAAAAGAAGTTTCAACCTGACAGTCACATCATAACGGCCAAAAATATTGTGCAGTCTGAGTCAATATAATTGCAAACAAAATAATTAATGGCCCTCACACAAGGTTACTGCGGTTCAATTCCAATTTTAATCTTTGCGAGTTTTATGAGTGATTTGATCTGAAAGTGTTTTTCTGTGGTAGATAAAGGTTTTGGAAACTGCTTTAGTTTGGTCTTGACTGTGTTAATATTGCTTTTTCAGTCTGACTTGTTCATTTCAAGCCCTGAGACATCCTAACACTGCTGCCTCTGCTAATCAAGATCATATTGATCCAGCTATAAAGGTTTTATTGTTGCTGTAGCTGTCCTTCCTGGTTGTACAGATGCTGGTAGAGACGTCCTAATTGATGCATTTTTATAGTGCGCTGCAGCTTTGAATCTGTGAAATTGCCTTTGAGTCGTCCTCACACTCGTCCAGCATTCGTCATATCAAAGCAGGAGAACCACAAGGGTAATCTTAATTTAAAGATGTGACATTGCTGCTGTTGTCATGGTTCTCTACTTAGCTTGGCTTTCCTCTCACTGAACAAAAATGGATCAGTGCTTCAGAGCATTTATTTACAAGCTTTGTCTCCTGAGATCTGGTCTATATTCAAAGAAGGCCTACTTGCATGTGTGCTGCTTGGTTTTTTAAAAAATAGGACACCCTTTGTTAAGTTTTGTGTGTGTGTCAAAAGCATGATTCTTGACTCTCTCTGTACAGACCCTACGTTCAAAGGTCCTTCAAAGGATGCTGGGAAAGCTCTAATACAGCCACCCCCAGGTAAAACTGTTGGCTGCACTGCGTTTGTCTCTGGCTCGCTGATGGCTCGCTTTAAAGAATGTTGGGCTTGGTTCAAAAATGAATAAAAAAAAACAAAAACAGGCTTTTATCCTCCCTCACCATGGATCAAGGAGGCATTTTCATTTGAATTGTTAACTGGGGAACATCTGTCTTAAATGTTTTTGGGTACATCCCATCCTTCCCCCAACCTACTCATTTAATCAGCTTTTTGTTTGATTAAAGCCAAAATTAAAGGTTTCTTGTGTCCATGGTGCTGTGGAGATTTTTGACCGCTTGGGGCTTACTTTTTTTTCCACGTCTGTTATGCTAGCTTCTGCTTGTGCTTTGGTCTTTATCTGTGCTAAAGATGCACAAAATGTGTTTGGTTTTTTTGTTTTGTTTTTAATATAACACAGTGGGCTGATTTCAGGTAGTAAAGTAGCCTGCGGGTGTCAATATTAACCCTTTCAGGCATAGTGGTCACTACAGTGGACAGCTATTCAAAGGCTGTTTTCTTGTATTGGTATCAGTGCTGATGATATTCCTGCACATAAACCACTACATTGGACACTGATGTCTCACTCCATACGCTGCCACCCACTGGTCATTTAATTTTACTATAGATGTGTGACGTGTGTCATTGTAATTATCGAACCCTGTCATGCATGAATTATGACATCAATCAGGATTTTTTTTTCTCAAGTATTTTATTCATCTTTTCATGCCTAAAGAGGATGGCCATTAATGTTGCATGAATCTGTAAGTTCTCAAATGTGATTAATCGGCCTTTGATTACTGTAACACACTTGGTTGATAAGCTTGCAGGAATTAGAATTGCAGACACATAACCATAGTGTAACGGGCAGTTGTTGCATCAGTGTCTCTATACAGCGGTATTTGTGCTCAGTGATTTTAGAGTCCATTCCTCCAGTGTTACCCTTATTGCTGCCCACAGAAAATGATGG